GTCTGTCCTGGGTGGAGCTTGTCTGTCCTGGGTGGAGCTTGTCTGTCGTGGGTGGAGCTTGTCTGTTCTGGGTGGAGCTTGTCTGTTCTGGGTGGAGCTTGTCTGTCCTGGGTGGAGCTTGTCTGTCCTGGGTGGAGCTTGTCTGTTCTGGGTGGAGCTTGTCTGTTCTGGGTACAGCTTGTCTGTCCCGGGTGGAGCTTGTCTGTCCCGGGTGGAGCTTGTCTGTCCCGGGTGGAGCTTGTCTGTTCCGGGTGGAGCTTGTCGGGTCTGGGTGGAGCTTGTCTGTCCTGGGTGGAGCTTGTCTGTCCTGGGTTTAGCTTGTCTGTTCTGGGTGGAGATTGTCTGTTCTGGGTGGAGCTTGTCTGTTCTGGGTACAGCTTGTCTGTTCTGGGTGGAGCTTGTCTATTCCAGGCAGACGTTGCCTGTTCCCTGTTCTTGAGGCTTAGTGAGGGAGTTCAAGAGCAGTGGGCCTCTTGCTTCCATGATGAGACCTGTGGGCTCCCTCCCACCCACCAGGAGCTGGTCAGGGACATGGGCCCTCCCCCATCTTCACCCCCACACTGTGTGCTCCCTCCCACCCGCCAGGAGCTGGTCAGGGACATGGGCCCTCCCCCATCTTCCCCCCACACTGTGTGCTCCCTCCCACCCGCCAGGAGCTGGTCAGGGACATGGGCCCTACCTCTTCTTCCCTCCCCTGACCTGTGGGCTCCCTCCCACCCACCAGGAGCTGGTCAGGGACATGGGCCCTCCCCCTTCTTCCCCCCCACACTGTGTGCTCTTGTGCTGCTCTGAGTCTGACCCTGTGTCACCTGGCTGCACAGGTGGCCTCCATTTGCTTTGTTGGAGCAATAGGCTTGGGTTAGGGTAGAATCAGGCAAGTCTTCTTGTTCTTCTTTCTTTGGCTAGTTTCTGCACTTCCAACTCCTGCAGCCATGTAAATGAATATTATGTCTTAAAATAGATACCTGTATGTATACAATCTTCACATGGCTGTGTAAAGGGTTACAACGTGACAGTTTATGAGTAGAATGCATCCTTTTGTTTTATCTTTTACATCAACTGTATCCTCAGAGCCAACCTGCCTTAGTTAACAAACCTCCACTTTGCCAACTACTGTGGGAGTCATATTTCTTCTCACAGGCACCCAAATCTCACGCTCCACAGCGAGTTCTGTGTTGCACAAGAGGATTTACTGTCTGTCCCTGTCTGCGCTCAAGGCAGTGTCACCCTTTCTTGTTCTCCCCAGCCCCCCAGCTTTTCTAGGACGTACACTGAGCACTGTGGTGTGCAGTGTCACCCTCTCTCGTCCCCCCAGCCCCCCAGCTTTTCTAGGACGTACACTGAACACTGTGGTGTGCAGTGTCACCCTTTCTCGTCCCCCAGCCCCTCGGCTTTTGCAGGACATACACTGAGCACTGTGGTGTGCAGTGTCACCCTCTCTCGTCCCCCCAGCCCCCCAGCTTTTCTAGGACGTACACTGAGCACTGTGGTGTGCTCTCTCCACTCCCTCTCCTTGTAAATGCCATTTTATCTGGCTCACGCTTTTCTCAAAAGTTCCACAGTAATCACCCCCAAACTGAATAGCGGCAGCCACACATCTTAGCTCCTAGGAATCTCAGTGACACAGGAGGTGATGCACAGCCTCTGTGTGTCCAGACATGAGTTCTTGCAGCTGAGCTGAGCCTAAGTACTAAGCAGAGAGAGCGTAAATCCCTTACCGTCCTACTATCTGGCAGGCATTGCGTTCGCGTCCCCGATGGAATGACCCGCCTTAACCCCGGGCATGGATGAACTTTTGTAGGACGCTCGTTGGTGCTTGGACTGCGCCTTGGCAGCCAGGGTCCCGGAGAGCTGTGCCCTCCTCAAGTCAGGCACCACCAGGGAGGGGGAAGCTGGGGACGTGAAACCTCACGTGCAGCTCCGCAGGCCGAAGGAACCAAACCTCCACTCGCTCCTTTAATGTTAGTTAGTTTAGTTCCGTTGCAAAACTCCCAGGAACAGTTTGAATGACAATTTCAGGATTTTTTAAATGGAAAAAATTGTTCTGATTCAGGAAAGTGGTCTTAATTTGCCTTCACTTAATCTTAAGTGGATTATCAAAAGACTATCACTGGTGGGATTGCAGAGCCGGGGTGCTCTTCACAGAAGCGGAGAGTCCGGAGCTTACTCAGGGTCAACAGGAAGTAGTTGTATTTGCCATCATGTTTGCCTTGAATTGCATTCTGTGGGAATTCAGAAGTAGAGACCTGCTTTCACCCGCTGCTGGCTCTGTAAACAGAGCAAGGAACATGGGGTGTGACTGAATGCCAGTTCCTCCCGAGACAGCCTGGGGACCTGGGTGCTGTGGCGCGTTGCGGACAGGGCAGTGGCCTGTTTGCCTGTGATCGGATTCTCGTTATGACACCTGCTTCCCGATCCACACACACACACACACACACGCACACGCACACGCACACACACACACACGGGTAGGGAAACGACCTCAGTGCCGCGGGGACGTTGTGGCCTCCGCTGGCAGGAGGCCGGGAGAGGCGGTGTGACTACCCAGGAAGGCAGGCAGGAGCCACCTGTTTCATTCTGGAGCTTTCTATGTGATAGTGTGCAGCTCCCGTGTAGTCCAAGGTCGTTCTGTTAGATAAGTAAGGACAATGTGGGAACGAGGGAACGGGCACCGTGTGGAGGCAAAGGGGAGGTCGCTAGCGTGATTTCTAAAAGCTGCGTCGATAGCGGACGACACTGGCAGAGGAGAGGGCACTCATGATGGGTAAGCTTTAGTCCGCCCGCAGCCGTAATTCCACGTATGAACCCTCTCTTTTAATGTCCTCTTGGCTTTAGCTGAATGTGGAGCACGTGTCCGAGGAAACGAAGGAACATTACTGTCTCCAAATTTCCCATCCAATTATGATAACAACCACGAGTGCATCTATAAGATAGAGACAGAGGCCGGCCAGGGCATCCGCCTCAGCGCGCACGGCTTCCAGCTGTCCGAAGGGGACGTGCTCAAGGTGAGCGTCCTCACAGAGCCCGCATCTGCCCCAAGGGGGCGGCCATCCATCCGGCGGTCACACATCTCTGTGTGCGTGCACACATGTACCTATGTAGGTGTCTATGTGTGCATCCATTTACTAACCCGTCACCTTTCTTACCTATCTACTGACTTACCTACCTCTGTAGCTATACCTCTCTGTCCATCTATCATCTGTCTCCGTCTACCAATTCACACTAGCCTCTAGCTACCTGTCTACACACACATGTGTGCTCATATGTCATTATGTATTTATGTATAATTTATTCCTGTGTATTTATGCAATTGATTTAAGATGATATAATGGGGTGTCATTCAGAAGATTCTCTGTGGACTTAGAAATCTATGTTTGAGTCTAGATCTAATATTCACAGGCATGTAACTTGGCTCTCCTGGGTTTAGAAGCATGAAACAGTTTTGACCCTTTTGATTTTTGGAGAATTAGTAGATATGACATGGCAGATGTTTCTGTTGTTATGCATATAATGGCAATTTATTTAAAAACCTGGGTCTCAGAACCCAGTCATTTGAATATCCTGACTTCACACATTTTAGAGCCAGAAGGACTTGCGAGTCATTCGAGCAGAAGTCCAGCACTGTCATGAGTATACAAGGCAGGGATGTTCAGAGAAGGAAGGCCAGAGCGGTACCGCACCATCAACAGCAGGTCACCCAGATCTTGCCTAATTTCCCAAATCCCCAATCCAGTCAGAGCACGTCCAACCCGGAGGGCTCCTCATTGAACCCTACATCCCAAGTAACTATGCCAGTGAGAGCATCCCAAACCCCAGGCTGCTCATGCAGGTCCACACCCTTGGGACTATTTCAAGACAGCAGAGCCTTGCCAGAACCTAGCAGCTGAGAAGTGAACGTCAGTGAGCGGAGCCTCAGAACAGTTACCAAGACATACATGGAGCAGCAAAGGCTGAGAAGGCTGTCACTCTTCTGGTACACCCAAATCGCATTGGCCAGGAGGCCAATTCAAGCACAGAAAGAACCATTATCACTTACATTTATGTCTGTGTGGCTTGCACATTGACTCACACATCAGCTCACACAGTGATTCACACGGTGACACATACTGATTCATACAGTGACTCACACAATGACTCA